CTCAAGGCCCAAAAGTCCCATCATGAAAACACATTTTTAAATATCTCTCATCTAAACATTTCAAGATCCATGAATTATTCTCTGGTAAAATTATGAAAATTCAACATTTAACATCTTTCCATCGAGTTTCGTGGAAAACCGTCATCTTGCTGACAAACAAACTAATCAACTAACGGAGTGAAAACATAAAAATCCAACTATTAGACGCGTCCAGTTTCACTCACGTGAATGTTTTTACACTGAAACTACACACGTGTTGTTGTCATGTGAGCACCGTGACGATGTTCAGGGTCATGTGAAGAATCTGAAAGGCCTGAGGAAGTTAGACTCACCAGCACTTTATCTTTTTTTAAATAATTGTTTAAAAGCTATTTCCAAAGTCTTTTACTGTCTGATTTGAAACGTTATTTTTGTTTTGTTATCTTCATTTCCACAGAAATAAATTAGATCACGATGTTGCTGCCTGTGTGCACATACTTTATACACATACTAGATATTTTAGCTTCGGGTTTGCAGATTGAACAAACACCTGGCAGAGAAATCTGGTGCATGTGACCACGTTTGCTTTCAGCCTGTGGTTGTTTTACATATAAAGATTGAGGACCGGTTTATCCATATTTTTCATATAAAGAAGTATTCCTTCATGTGACTACACTGCAAAGTATTTCTCCTTTGTGTGTTCCCGTCAGTCGTCACCACGCTGGCTGATAAACCTGTTCTGTTCAAACGAACAAAGCGATCTTAACTGAACTCGACCTGATTTGTGAAACAGAACAAATACTTTGACGTGAAGCTTTTGTCGCAGCCTGATGTCGTCCAACGAGTAAAACCAGGAGCTATTACTGACACAGTGGTGAAGAGCAGTCTGGTAAAATGCTGTTTGATTACATACCAGCTTCACTGCCGAGTGGAATCAAATGTCCCACATGAACAGGGCGACATGTTTCTGTGTCTCCTGTCGTAGGTCAGGTGGTTTTTCAGCTTATATTGAATGAAATGTATGTTTTTTAAATCGGTCCACTGCAGCTTGACGTTTGGTCAGAATCACTCGACACCTTGGCTTCATCCACACCGCTCTGCTTTTCAACTCTGCTACAGACACACAGGCGTCCACACAACTCTGGAGTTTTAGAGACACTTAAACAGAGACGTTAGGAAAACGCTGCTGGTGCTTATTTACTGTGTTTCAGAAAACAGTCAGAACGTCCAGTAAAGCTCGGAGGCAGGCGGCAAAGAGCCAGATGATCCAAACTCAAGACCGAAACTGCGGAGGTTATGTTTCCACCGCCTCTGTTGGTTTGTCTGTTTCTCAGCATCAACCACAGATCGGATTTCCTTGTTTGAAGGACGGGACACGGGTCAACAAAGGACATATCTAATGTTGGTGCTGATGTGGACAAAGGGACAGACTGAGGATCTTTTTCTTATCATTCAGTCTCACGTACACACCTACACAACCTCAATAAGCAGTGGGAGGTGGACGGATACCCGGGGAGAACCAAGGCAGCCACAGAGAGAACTAAACTTCTCACAGAAAGACCCCGGCTGAACTGGGATCTGAACCAAGAACCTTCTTGCTGTGAGGCGACAGTGCTGCGAACACATGACGAATTAACTTTAAACCTGAACTTTAATCAAACGTTTCTTTAATTACACATTAAAGCAAAACACATGATAAAGGATTTTCTGTATCATGAATCTTTATGAGGTCAGAAGAACATTTTGTTGAAGTAAGACCACAACTCACAGACACGTTTAATTGAGAACGTGATCAATGACCTCGTTGTGAAGCCAGTTCTAGGTCAACATCTGGACTCATTCTAGAATCTAAAACAGAAGCAACATCAACCAGAAAACACATTAATCACATTAAAGCGACAGGGACGAGGTCAAGGGTCCAGTTGGATCAGATCTTAAAGGTCCAGTGTGAAGATTGAGGTGAAAGGGAAATCCTGTCAGAACTTCAGTGTAGAATAATCCTCATGATGTTTTCACGAGTTCGTTTCATCTAAATTGTATGAATTGTAGTTTTTTTTACCCAGAAAAGACCCTTTATATTTAAATACTTAAATTTAAATACTTTATATTCAAATACTTTATATTTACATGGAGGGGTCCTCTCTACGGAGGCCGCCATGTTTTTTACATTAGTCCAGACTGAACAAACTAAAAGACTTTTGAGTTTTTATGAAAACTGAAGCTGCCACAGTTTTTCATGTTTGGAAGGAGAGGGTGAGGTGAGGGGGGGGGTTCAGCTGCAACACGACACTTCAACTCTAGATATGACTAAGTTCTACACACTGAACCTTTAAGCTCAGTGAACCTGACGAATTTGAAATATGCTTTACAACTGAAAATATGAAATCTTCACTTGAGGAGAAATCAATGTGACAACATCAGAGACTGAGCTCCGACTCTGTTTCAGTCGGAGTAACGTTGTAAAAAAGGTTTACAGTTGTAGACCAGAATACTTTCACTTTGTGTAAAACCCACATCCTCCACCAGAGCTGGGACGTGCACTGAGACTTGTCCTGAACATCTGCAACATTCCAATGAATTGAATCTGTCTTCTTTTTATTCATTGTATTTTAAAGAATATACTTTTTCATTGTATTGTCTATATCTTGTCTTGGTTTCTATATATTTCTGTAACTGTAACGAGACCCAGTTTCCCCCCGAGGTTTAGAAAAGTGTTTCTGATTCTGATTCACAGGAGTTCGTGTGTATTTGATTGTCACAGAACACCCTTGGTTCTCTTTCAAAGATTCTTCAAATGTTCAGGGAAATAAAGAACTGCCCGTCTGATCAATGATCAATCATCTTGATCTCTCTCACCTTGAAAACTTCTCCGTAGGTTCCTCCTCCGACTCGCAGCAGGATCTCAAAGTCGTCCTGAGGATTCCTGGTGGAGATTTCCAGAGCTGCTCTGCTGTGATGAAGGTCCATGTTAGTCCAGTGTCACTAATCCTCCTCTTCATCAGGCATGTCACACACACACACACACACTCACACACAGACACACACAGACACACACACGCTCACACACACACACTCTGAGGCATTTACATCTGCAGGCAACAAAACCAATGGACTCATCGATGTGAGCTGCTGAGTCTCTGTGTCTCTTTGTCTCTCTGATCGTGTGTGTGAGTGTGTGAGCAGCAGTCACACACACACACCTTCCTGTTTCTGTTTTCACTCTGCTATCGATCCTCCTTCCTCACCTCCCTCTATCTTTAACACCTTCCTGTCGTCTCTTAGACATTCTTTCTTTTCCAGGGTTTTATTCTGTTCTAGAGTCACAGATTGTTGTGTTGTTATGTGTTCTCGTGTTTTTTATTCTCATGATCAATGTACGGAACATTTCAAAGATTCAAGTGTGTGAGCAGGAACACAGACTTGGAGGATATCAGTGCTAAAGCTCGTATGCAGCAAATTCTTGTAGAGTTTCATTTTGTTTTGCTGCAAGTTTCAGTCTCAGATTCACACTTACTGAAGTGTGTGTGTGTGTGTCTGTGTGTGTGTGTGCGTGCCTGCCTGTGTGCGTGTGTGTGTTGAACCTCCCTGTCAACTTCCTGTTCAGTATAATTTCCCAGATAAGAAAGGGGCACCCCTGCTGTGGTCACACACTGGGAGTCTTTGTTCAGGTTTATTGATTATTTGACATTATACAGATTAAAAGGACGAGTTTGGTTTTGATTAGAAACTGTCTCTCTGTCACATTCTGACACCATCTTCAGCAGTTGACATTTATCCCTCCTCCTGTCTCTGCAGACATCTCAGGTGGTTCCCTGCCAACGCTCTCACATCTGCTACAGAGATCTCAAACGCCCACGCGTGACAGACGATCAACAGCTGCCTGAACCTGAACCATCGGTTCAGGACTGGTGAGGACTGATCGTGTCCACGTGGACCAACACGGACCAGAACCTGAAACTGCTTGAAAGCAAAGAGAGGAACACACCAGAGTCTGAACGTGATGAAGAGGACAGGAAGTCAACAGGAAAGACTTGAACACGTTCAGGAGTGAACGAGCCCAGTGAGCGACGGAGGGAACGAGGCTCCATCTGAATCAGATAAGGAGGATTTCTTCCAACGCGCTAAAATGCTTCTGACTCAAAGATGAGCCGATTGAATCTGGTGGTAAAGAGGTCAAAGGTCAAGGTCACTGAGACCTCCTAACGCCTGGATTCAACCGTTTACACAACAGATCACTTGTTTCCATTGGTTTTATTTCGCCCCCAATTCAAGCGTCGCTAACTTTACGACTTTAACGTGCTGCAGTTCCAGACTCTGACCACAAGGGGGCAGTTAAAACACGTGTAAGACACCTGCGTCCATATAACTAATAAAAAATACAGAAATGACATCACATCACATCTCAGGTCATTTTACTGACGCTTTTATCCAAAGCAACTTATGATTAGTGCGTTCAACATTCATGAGAATAAATAATAGGAAACAAAAGAGCGAAGTGTTGAAGAGCAAATTGCTGGAGGAAAAAAAACGAATGAAAAAAGGAAGAACACGTCAGTGTGCGTGTTTTTCAAATTTCGTCATTTCCCTTTTTTCTCCTTTTACCGTGAAAGTATTTTCCGGAAGTGGTCCTCGTCTCTCTTGTTCGCATTGACGCTAGCTTTACTGTTGTGCACGTGTTGCAGTACCTCACTTTGACCGCTGTGGGCTCAGACTCATGGAGTTTGCCGCCCCCTCGTGGTTACACTTGAAACTGCAGAGAATCCAAATGGTAAAAAAAAAAAAAAAAAAAAGACGCGATGCAAGTGACAGCATGCTACGACTTCCGGTTTGATACTTTCAGAATACAGTGACGCAACTGGAGGAAAACAACAAAAACATGAAAAGTCGGAAAAGATTCGGTTTTTAATAAAAACTAAAAACACTTAAAACACAATAAATACACAATAAATACACAATAAATACACAACACAACAGTTTCAGCGTCACGTTAATTGAGAGTTTCTCCAAAGTGAAACGGTCCGTCGATCATTACTGTCCTCTTTCCGTTCCGCTTTCTTCCGGTCCGACCCTCTTCTCCCTCCGGTGCCTCCTCAGTCTGCGGCTCCACGTGTGGATTTAATTCCGGTTTTCATCTTTAACTTTCACCGTGAAAACAAACTAGGGTCCAGATGTCGTCGCCTTTCGAGCAGATGCGGGTGAACGTGGGGGAGCTCCTCCGGGGGATCGACCGGTACGGATGGTCCGGCGCGACAACCGTGCTAACGCTAGCTTAGCATGTGTGCTAACGGTGTAGCTAACGTTAGCTCGTTCTGCTTCGTAAACCTCTGAGTTAACCGCAGTTTGAGATCGAACCACGAGAGTTGACCACGTGCTAAAGAGCCACGTGGTTTATATTTAGACGAAGATGAATCTTTAAAGTTTTTCATTTTGTGACTGAAACTCAAAACAGCTGCTTCGTCATCATCCGTGTTCTTCACCATTTGTATAAGATCAGAGGTTCAGAGTCAGTTTCCTGTTCACAGCTGCTCAACATCTGCACACATGTGGACAGATGTCACCTGATGACGTACAGAACAAACACAGGAAGTAAAATCAGCCGAGAAAAGAACAGAAGTCAAGTCTTAGAAATCCTGTGATGATGATGTGAGAGGAGCAGACACGAGTCTCAAACTCACAAGAGAGCAGGTTCAATTCATTATCACGAAATAATGTTTTCCACTTTGAAACACTTTGTCTTCCGCGGTGAACGGATCCCTCGTCACGTTAGAGCTGAGACTCAGGAAACAAATCTCCTCTTCCCACAGAACACAGTGAAACTCTGAACACACCAGTGATTCACGTGTAAACGTCTCCTCCTCCTCCTTCAGGTACAACCCAGAGAACCTGGCGACGCTGGAACGTTACGTGGAGACGCAAGCGAAGGAGAACACCTACGACCTGGAGGCCAACCTGGCCGTCCTGAAGCTGTGAGTCCCTGTAACACTCACACGTCCACTAACCGGTGGAAGACACACGGGGGACGCTGAATTGACGGGTCCCCGTGAGACCTCGTTTAAAACATCAGAAGGATTTATCACGACTTCCTGTTTGCTGCAGGAGTCGTTCGATTGCTCCGCCTCTCCTCTAACCGTTTATCTCTTTAGGTGTTATTCACTAAAGCTCAGGATAAAAAAGTCTCCGGTGGAAAAAGTTCAAACTCTTAACGTGCGTCTCTTCCTGTGCAGGTACCAGTTTAACCCCGCCTACTTCCAGACGCAGGTGACGTCACAGATTCTGCTGAAGGCTCTGACCAACCTGCCGCACACCGACTTCACTCTGTGCAAGTGCATGATCGACCAGACACACGTATCCATCTGCTGCAGCGCCGTGACTCCACGCCGGAGCTTACAGGTTCATTACAGTTTGTTCCACAGACGGAGCTGATTTGTGTAAACGTGGTCGAAGGTCGAGGTTCAGTCACTGTTGGCAGAATTCCTTGATGAAGTAATCAGACGTGTTTCAGAGCCTGATGTCTGAGTGTGATTGATTTAAGGGAACCGTTGAGATTCTGGTGATAGAAGATGTGTAACATAACGTAGGAGTGTGTGTGGGCAGAGCTGGGTTTGTGGGGGTGGGGTGTGGGGGTTTGTCTCGGGTCAGTTTCCTTGACTACTGTGTCGCAGCAAGAGGAACGTCCCATCAGACAGATCCTCTACCTGGGGAACCTGCTGGAGACGTGTCACTTCCAGAGCTTCTGGGTACGTCCCCCACACACACACACACACACACACACACACACACAGAGTACTGTACCTCCTCGTTCAGTCCCTCCTCTCTTTTCCTCACATCTGTAACTTCCTGCTCTCACCTCCTCCAGCCTCGCGTGTCGTTCTGTAGCAGGACGATCACAGCCGGTCTGTTGCGTCAACTGATCACTGATCAAATAACTAAGTCTGTGATTAATGAAG